GAAAAAAACATTAACCGTAAAAAAGTATAAAAATATTTAAAAATAATGACACCTATTGTTACTCCCGTCGGCAAATGTACAAGGAGCAAGAAAACCGTGGCCTCCGGTGAAGCTCGTGGACTACCTTGAGATGTATTTTTCGTTTTAGCTATGACTCTATGTACTTGGAACTATTTCCCTTATCTTAGTTTATTTAATTGAGTGTTGTTTCAATTTGGGTTTTATTTCTATGTACTTGGAACTATTTCCCTTATCTTAGAATATTTAATTGAGTGTTGTTTCAATTTTGGTTCCTAATCTATGTACTTGGAACTATTTCGCAAATTATGTCGCATTAGCTGAGTCCGGCACATCAGCCCCCGGATTTTGCGGACCAATCGGTCCTAGACACCTTCGTTTATCATGTCCTGGAACTTTGCATATTGAACATCGTCTCGGTCAAGCGGTTTCTGTAGGTCATACCTAAAACCGCTTGGCCAAGATGCGGTTTTGGTCCAGGATTTTAAACCTCTCCATAGAGGTGCGGTCCATAAAAAAGGGTGCTATTAGAGTCAATTTTTTCGGCTGGGTGCTATTTTTGTAAATTTTTTTAAAATGTGCTATTTTTGGAAAAATCCCAATTAGTAATAATAACAACTGACTCGGTCAAATAAAAAAGTAAAAGCAATACCAAGCAAACGAGGATTGGGACAGAAAACATAAATAAAAAAAAATAAAAATAAAAAATAAAAAAAAATGAAGCCCAAGAGATACGTACGTACAAGAAGGTTTTTTTGTCTTTCCTTTTCCATTGGGGACAACTCTTTCCATTGGCCCATCAGCGCTCAACCTAGCATTTTCATTCTCCATTGTTTCGGACCCGCACCGCATACACAATTTCTCTGGGGACGATTTTGTGGGGACCCAAACTCTGCTAATTATCATATGGGGACAACTATAGCATGGGCGTCCCTTATTTAACTTAAGTTATGTTTCCGGTGACCAAAAAAAGTAATTATCCCTTATACTGGTCCCTATAACTCATTAATTTTGTAGTGAAGCTAAAGATCACGGCCGGGAACACAGTCCGTGAAGTCAAGTTAAAGATCGCGGCTGCAAGTCCAACATCGCGGCCGCGAATTGGAGGGCTTAGGGCGTGAAATTCGCGAATAAAGAGTCATGTAGAAACAAAAATTCCCCCAGTCAAGTCACAGTCAAAGCACATTATGCCTACGAGGAAGATCGCGGCCGCGACAAGTGGATCGCGACCGCGAAGTCGGACCGTGATCTTCCCCTTTCAGAAGGCCATGACGACTGTGTTTTGAGATCGCGGTCTCTCCTCGGAAGATTCCGCCTGCGATCTCGTCACATATGGTCGCAAATTCTCCGTCCACCAGAAGGCCAATAAATAGAAAACCCATTTCCCCTTTTAGATGAGCTGATTTTGAGAGAAATTTTTGTGGTTTTAGAGAGAGAGAAGATGAAGAAAGAAGAAAAAGGAGAAGGAGCTAGAAGATCGAGCATCTTCCTCAACCCAAGTCTTCTTCAATTTCTTCTATGTTTCTTCTCCCCTCTTTTATGGAGTAGTCCTCTAAGGTACTAGAGGTTCTAAACCTCAAACCCTAGTTTTAGGGTTTATTATGTATGTGTGGATATTTTAGGGTTTGAATGATTGAATGAATGTGTTTATCTAGTTGATTTAATTGCTATTCTATCATGGATTGTGTTTGTGGTAGGGCGCCCCAATCTTCTCTATTAACCTACTTTATGCTTCCGTGCTGGGTATGGTGTTCTAGGGTTAGACGGGTATGCGCCATAAATCAAAACGTGATAGATGTATGAATAGGGACCTAGGGTGGTCGAGGCGACCGAACCACTGCCGTAGGTTAGCCTTCATAGATAAAACCTCGGTGTGGACAATGGATAGTGTCCACTGAAATGAGCCATATGCTTAATGCCCCAGATACGATAGCCTAGATCGAGGTGAGTATATATGGGTTTAGGGGAGGCGTACGCGGAGGCATGTGGATAACCACGAAAGCGCACGGAAAAGAGCTCACTCGCCACATTCGATAACCCTAAGTATCTTACATGCATAGTAACCCTAAGCTAGGGGAGGAATAGTTCCCCGAAGTACCTGCTTTTAGCTTTGATCAATCTCTAGTCTAGTTATCTCCTCAAATCCTCCACTCAAACCTCCAAAACCGATTAACTAATTAGCAACTAGGTGGGAAGTAAGCTAGGGTACCAGGACCCGAGTAAAATATGACCTTGATTACCACTATACGACAATACCATCTTAGATTAAACTTGGTTTAAGATGGAGTAGTTGTTGACACGTGCTAACCGTTGACAATAATCTGCATGGATCGAAGTGATCAAGCTTTTTGGCGTCATTGCCGGGACCCTTGGTAACTATTAGAAAATCATTAAGTTGTTAGTTAATCTTTATCTTGTTATGTTTGTTTTATTTTGCGTTCTTGTTTGTGTTTTTGTTATTTCTCGTTTGTTTCATTTTGTGCTTTGTTTTTCACCCACTTTTTCCCCCAAAGGGTTGTTTGTGTGTGTTTGATTCTCTTTTTAGTGTTTTTGCCTGTATAGAAGCTGTTGAATCATGGATCCTTATGACTTCACCAAAGTGTGTGGGTATTCACCAACACCCGAGGGTGGTTACCCGGAAGCTTCATGGAACGATCAAAATGGTGGAAGTCAAGGATTCGGATTCTTGTACCAACCCCCTTCCAAGATGAACAACTATACCAATGGGGATATCAAAAAGCTTTCCCATATCAAGAAATTTTTTATCCACAAACTGAGGAGAAATCCAACATGCGCCACTCCGCAACCGGAGCCAAGAAGCGAATTGGAACTCTTAGTCGACATTTCAAAATTCCAAATTTCACTTATTGCAAACAACCCTACACCCAAAGTCTCAAATGTGTCTAAGATCTAAAACCCAAAGATTTAGCATTTAATCAAATGAATATCAACGTATGTTTGACTATCAATGACATACATGACATTAATCTATTGTCAATATAAGTGCCACATCATGGCCACATATGCTGATAATACCATAATTTTTTTTTAGTAATTTCAGAAACACAATAACACTCCTCTTAGTTAGCCCCTTGGTAGTCTTGGATTGTCACACTCACACATTCGAAAGATACTTGAAAGAACAAGTAAATAAAGAGTATTAAATCAGAAGACTCACAATTCACAAGTGCTGAAAATGGATAGCATAGAATGATCATAGAATGCCAATTTAATTAATAACAGTTCCAAAAAACAACTAAATGTAGCATATTTATTGTAATCACTCACATGTAGATATCAAAACAACGCAACATTGATAATAATTTACCACTTACGGGTATTGAAAATTCTAAAATCCCCTTTTCAGAAAGAAAGCAAAATTCTAGAAATACCTAGCTACATCAATCAAATCTTTCAGATTCCCTTAGCATCATCCCCTGTGGTTTCCAATGGTAACAAGATTCATGATCACCATAAGACAAAAAAGATTCCCTTAGCATCTTCCCCTGTGGTTAATACCTTAGTTTGGCCCGAATTATAGACAAACTTTCTATTTTAGTCCGTGGTATCGGAAATTGCTATTATGGCCTAAACTATATAGCATAGTTCCTTATTTGGCTCGGAGGCGGGTTTGGCCGTCAAAATAGACGGTCAACTCTGTTGACCGTTAGTCAAGGTCCACCTCACTTGCCACGTCAGCTATCAGAGAATATTTTTTTTTTAATTTCTGGATTTTGTTTACTTTCTAATAATAAAAATAATAAACAAAAATATTAATTAAAGAAAAGAAAAAAAACCATCCTCCTTCCCTGGCTCCTTCGCCTCCTCACCTTCTTCCACACTATTGGTCTATCATAACTTATAACTCACATCCGTATTTTGTACGTAGGAAAAAGGTAGATCAAATAGGAGTCTATTTTTTTTTTATTAGTTTACTGGTCAAGAGTTGTTCTATGTTGGTAGGTGTCAAAGTACTTTCTGGTAATCATAAACTGGTACTTGAGTAACGGGTTGATCTGTTGGATATTTTGACCCAAATGACATGACTTATATGAACATTGAATCGAACCATAAATTTGTTATCATTATTATTATTTTTGGTTGATTTAGGTCTAGATTGGATCTAATTTGTGTTGATTTATATAGTTGGAGGACCAAACTTGTAATTATGTTTAATAGCCACTAGCGTGTACATATATATGCTTAGCCGTAATCCTTGTAACTCTAACGAAGTTTACGATAATGAAACCCTTTTGGAGAGTACAGCCTCTCCTGTGGATTAGTCCGGTTGATCAGGGATACCACATTAAAATGGTGTGTCTGTTCTTCACTCTAGTTCTTTTCATGGTATTAGAGCCTGATTACGAGTCAATCCATTAAGTCCATTTGAATATAATAAAACCAATGTCATAGAGCAATAACGAGATATTTGTCTCACTACAACAAAAAGAGTCTATGCCAAGGGTTTTTTTGACCTATAGCAAGGGTTTTAACCCCTGCTACAAAGTGTAGCAAGGGTTTTACCAACCCCTGGACGAACCCTCGCCAATGCTGCCCCTGCTACGTGTAGCAAGGGGTTTTAGCAACCCACGGTGGAAGTCCCATCCAAGGGTTGTAGCAAGGGTTTTAACCTTTGCTAATGTACCAAGGGTTTAAAACCCTTGCTACACGTTAATGTAAATTACAATGAGAAGATATTCGTAGCAAGGGTTAAAACCCTTGCATAATTCGTCACTAATACTTTATGACCATTTGTGTGCAAAGCGAAATGGTCACTAAAGTGTCATCCTAACGAGAGGTGCATCATTAGCAACGAAATTTTGGTTGTAGATACTGGTATTTTGGTCATTATATTGTTGGTAGAACCATCATTACCGTTGCATCCTAAAAAGAGGTTCCTCATTAGCAACGACATTTTCATCGCAAATACTGATTCCTGTCACTATATATCACTATATACGAACGCTCTAATATAATTGGAACAAAAACTGATTTTTTACATCAACAACCCGAACATTATAATACAATTGGTCATTCTAATATAATTGGTAAAGCCTGATTTTTTTAACATTAACAAGCTCAACATTCTGGTCATAAATGTCATTCTATATCAACTAGAAGAGTCAGATCACTTTGTAAATAGGATTATAACCCCAACGATTTAAATCTATGCTCTTGAAGCAAACTATAAACAACGATTATAACCTCTGAACATGACTGCAGAAACTGAGAAGCTGGCACCTTGATCTCATTGTTCATTCTTCTTGGCAGCCTCCTCGCAATAGTGGACCACCTGGCCAAATAAGATAAAATCTAGTCAATATATTAATCATCCATTAATCCCTTGATTAGTTTGTCTAGATTTAAAGAAACTGATTTAAAGATCAGGGTTATAATATTGAAAAAATTCATTAGAACTCTGTAGAAGGTTCAACTCAAGTGATTACTGATCATTGATTATAATATACCTGTTCCCCCAATTGGAATGCAACTCCACAATAATGCTCTCTTCCTGTGGAGTGATCTGGCCTCTCTTCATGCCTGGCCTCAAGTAACTATCACCTGATCAGTCTGCAACTCTTCACATTCCTCTTCAGTCCTGCTATTTCGATCAGGTTGTATACAAGCAGTAAAGCTAATTAGAAGTCGTCGGTAAATTATCATTCAAAACAAAAAAATATCTATAATGGCTAACAAATACTAGCAACCATGGAAACAGAGAATTGGTTTTCATCGAAAATCCATTAAAATTGCTAGCTTAGAAATCAGATTAAGCAATTCAAATGCTCAAAATAATATGTGCTTGAGAATCCTCCTCTCCTGTACCTTATAAACAATCCCAGCATTAGTGAGTTTGGTGCAGAATCCACATTCAAACACCTCCTGGAAACCCTTCCGAGACAGCAAAAGGAAGCTTATATTAGTTGGCTAAAACATAGTCTCTACTGCATCTCAACTTGAAGTCATGAACAAAAAACATATGAAGCAATGGAGTAATCACTCATATGCAGACAATTACAAATAAAGACTTAAACATCAGTTGAAAAGATGTACACAACAATATGATCAGCAGCAAATAATGCAATACGTAATACTCCTAGTACAATGACAGAGCACAATTAATTAATTTGCATTACAAACTCATCAATGTCAGTCAAGGCCAAGCACTTACCTTCTTTATTCCAATAATATTTAGCCTGTCATCAGTTCCAATTGCAATGACAGCATTCACAACCATCGTTGCAAAGAACTCTTTCTCTCCACCTATGAGGTTAGAATTCAGTGTTGTTTGTGCGCATTTAGAAAGTAAGCATTTCTTTTCTTCCAGACTCTTCCCTTTTATGTTGGTCGCTAAACCTTTGACCTTGTCGATATCCTAGCATGTTTAACAGCTAAGTGAGTAGGGTATACAGAGATTAGCATCTAAAGGTTGATAGAAGATAGGAGAATATTTGATGTCACACACCAAATTGCAGGTAGCTCTATAACTACGTATCAGATTCCATGGGTGGACTCCATCTTCGTTAAAGGTTTGGCTTCCCTTAAAAATTATGAGGCTAAAAGAACCACTGTTGTGATCCCGTCGCCAACCTGGAGCACAAAGAATTAAAAAGGGACATAAAATTTACCAGTTAAGACATCAACGGACACATTAGCCACAGAAACAAATAAACCACCCTGTCTAGTCCTTCTCTAATCCATGATTCAAAACCCTCAAAACAACAATGTCGCATCAGTTCGAAGTGTTTCATGTTCTAATACTACATATACTTGCAGAAGGGAGTGAATTTAACGACAAGCTCCTCTTCCATACAACATCATATCGAAAAACCCTATTCACATTGTAACAAGACATAGTTTCACATCTCAACGCAAAAAAAAAAAAAAAAAAAAACCAGAGAAAGCAATGTAAAAAGAGCACCTCGGAATCCTGGGACTTGGCAATGTCGACGAGGATCTCAGCGGCAGGATGGATAATATCAAGTAGCTTCATGATAGTAGCTCCATCATTAGAAATGGTATATAGTTAAATAATAATATAATTAAGCTGCTAGATAGAGAGTTCAGATGATATACCTATTCGATCCGAGATCTCTTATTCTGTTCAATATCAAGTTGAAATGTTTTAAACTGAATTTGTCTTTTCCCGGCGTGCTTAAAAAAGATCCAGAAAAGAAAGTCGAGACTCAACTGAAACATGAAAATCAGAACTTGGTCCAGATTTAGAAATTCACCTATGGATATTAATGAACACTTGCACCTTGGTTGGACAAGGAATCTGCCACTTCTGCTGTCACGCTGATATGCTTTAAGAAATCAATTCTGCAATTACAGTAAAAGCCCTAGAAATCAATTATGCAATTACAAAAGTGGATCTTCTGAATCCACATCACAGACTCCAAAGCATCCTTTACATGTGTACAATAAATAGGACAACACATCTACAACATAGTAACACAATCAAACTGAGTAGCTACAGAGGAAACAATAGACCTTCATTCCAATGAAGCAAGTGTTTTACTGCATCTGGAGAAGATGGCTAGAGACTCTCCACCAGTAGTTCACGATAGAAATTCTAGCAGTGTTTTACTTTCAAAAGAACCACATATTTAACAGAGCCAATGATAAACCTGTGTAATGATTTAGTGCAATAGCAATCAAACTTGATCCAACAACCGTATAAATGCTCAACCAAAGACAAATTTGAAGGGAAAAAAGGCTCCAAAGAGCACAAAATTGTGGGTACGAAATTGCAGAAACTAATCAAATGACCATGGATATTAATTCAATCTTTCAGTAGCAATATCCCTCATTATCAAGGTTAAACTCAACCATCTGAGTCCACCTTTCAAACAATTATGCTTAGCATCACTCACCAATCATCAATGGCCTCTTTAAACAATTAAGTAAACAACCATTTTCAACCAACTTGAACAGCAAAGTACTGAAAATACCTTAGGCATGATAGGTCTTTGATTCCCCCCGGGAATTAGGATGGACCCAATTCCTAAGTATCCAATCCTCCTTTCTTCAACTGAACGAAGTAATGCTCGTTCGAACGGAAGACGAGAAGCCTCGGCAGCTCCGTAGTGCCTTTAACCCGAGAAATTCAAAATTTCACAGCAAAAGGAGATTAAATTCATAATCGAAAGAAGACGAGAGAGCGTAATCAGGAGTCGATGAAAACCTTCTTCCTAATTCTGGCATGGCGGGCGGTCCTGCCGACTTGTCTAGTTCTGGCTTTGGCTTGAACAGTGGTAAGCACGGCGGAGCAATTATGAGCTCTGGTGTGGATTCTCGATCGCTAGCGACGGAGATCCATGTGAAAACTGATCTCGCCAAATATTTGACTCTCACGATAGGAAGCGAGTTCGGGATGCCAATGTCGCCATATCTCGAACCGTATCAGCGATACAAGAAGAAACCCCTGTTTTTTCTTCCTCTGTTTCAAGTCCAGAACGAGGGAAGGCACCAGTCACGTGAGGAGCACGAGCTACACCAACGGTCTCCATGACGTCATTTACTTTTTCTGTTTTCCGATTTCACTGTTACATTTCTTTTACCCAGCTGAGCTGGTTTTGTCCTGTAATGAACACTGAGTATAAATGAGAAGAAGATAGGAAGGAAGAAGATACTTTTCTTCTTCCAATTCTATGTGAAATTTGCGTTGTTATGGTATCAGAGCCTGGTTAGGGTTTCGGAACCCTAACCAGCAATCCTTCTTCCTTCTTCTCCTTCTTCTTCTCTTCGATTCTCTGGTTCTATTTCGATTTTGCTTTCTTTTCTTTGTGCTTCTTGCTTTGAGTGATCATGGCAGACAATGCAGCTACTGAGAGCAACAGCTCGGGAGCTAAAACAGAATACCCACTCTCAGATCCCTATTATCTTCATGGATCAGAGCAGCCAGGACAAATTCTCATCTCAATCAAACTCACAACCAACAACTACAACGACTGGAGTGCAGCGATGTTCGATGCCCTTGCATCCAAAAACAAATTAGGGTTCATAGATGGTACGATCCCAGAAGCACAGCCTGGAGACGAACTAGAATGGCCCTGGATGAGATGCAACATGATGGTGAAGAGCTGGATTTTGCAGACAGTCGATGAGTTGATTGGCAAGAGTGTGAGAAGCCTCAAAACAGCTACAGAGGTATGGAAAACTCTCAAATTACGATATGGTTAAGGTGATTTGATTAGAATAGTTGAACTCAATGAGAAGCTATGCAATTTGAAGCTAGGAACTAGAACCTTGTCTGAGTATCATACATAATTAATTACAACTTGGGAGGAGCTTAAGAACTATCAGCCTATCCCTGTATGCAAATGCACAACCACTAGTCATAGGGATTGTGCAGCAATTAATATGGTCAGAAAAACACAGGACACAAATATGATTGTCCATTTCCTTCGTGGTTTGAATGAGAACTATTCTATACCAACATCTCAAGTGTTGTTCAGTGACCCTTTGCCTACTATGGATCAAGTATTTTATCGCATGGCACAACATGAAAGAAAGTGTTATGGCAGTCAAGGTGATAAGGGTAATATGGTTGAGTCAATTGCATTAGCATTGCAGTCCATGGGGGTCAGGGCACCTGATCAACAGCACAGCAGACCAGACTGGAATTCTTCTTTTACAGCTAGTAGAGGAAGAGGCAGAGGTCGTGGAAGGTTTGGAGGACCACGACCATTCTGTACTTATTGCAAGATGCAGGGTCATACTGAGGAAACATGATATCATAAGCATGGTTGGCCACCTGGCATGACTCCTCGAAGTGGCAGAGGTGCTGGCTCAAGCAATCTACGAAATGTGAATGCAGTGATGACTTCAGAAGCAACTGACAACATCAGTTTAAGCAAGGAACAATATGAAGGATTAATGAACCTTCTTAAAAACAACTCAGTTGGGTCTTCTATTGGAGCAAGTACCTCTAATCAACAGCATACTGCAGCTGCCTTTCTAAGTAAGAACATTTCAGATACATGCAAGTTCTCTCTTTCCTTCTCACCTGGTCATAAACAGCAGTATCATGAATTATGGATACTGGATACGGGAGCCACAGATCACATTGTATGTGACTTGAGTCTTTTTCATAGCTGCAAGGTGATTAGTAATGTTGAGATAAATTTGCCTACTGGTCAGGCAGTGAAAGCTACACATATGGGCAGTGTGCACTTATCAGATCAGCTTGTTCTTCAAGATGTTTTGCTTGTTCCAGCTTTCAACTTTAACCTCATCTCTGTTAGTAAGTTGACACAGCAAAACAATCTTCATCTCACATTCTCTTCTGGATTTTGTTTTATACAGGATGCCATGAGGTTGCAAGCGATTGGTTCTGCTGAACTCCACCATGGTCTCTACAGATTGCATCGTAGACATGTCAGTAGTCCTTCTAAAGTTGTTGCCTCAAGCACAACTCCTTCTTTTGACCTCTTGCATTATAGGTTAGGCCATGTTTCTTTTTCCAGGCTTCCTCACCTAAAGAGATTGAACTCTAGTATAGATATGCAGCAGGTTTCTAGTTGTGATGTATGCCATTTTGCTCGGCAAAAACGATTACCATTTCCTTCCAGTACTTCCATTACAACTAAACCTTTTGAACTTATACACATGGATATTTGGGGTCCAAATTCTAGTCCCTCTCATGATGGTTTCCGATATTTTCTCACTATAGTTGACGATTTCAGTCGCATGACCTGGTTGCTTTTAATGAAACAGAAATCTGACACTCGACCCCATCTGATTTCATTCTTTAATCTTATTGAGACTCAATTTTCCACCAAAATCAAAAGAGTCCGCAGTGACCAAGTTCAGGAATTTCAGATGCGAGAATTTTTCAGCAGTAAAGGTGTCAAACATGAGGTTTCCTATGTTGAAACACCAGAACAAAACTCCAAAGTTGAGCGTAAACACCAACACATATTGTCAGTTGCTCGTGCTTTGAAATTCCAAGCACATCTCCCTATTGAATTTTGGTCGGATTGTGTTACACATGCTGTGTTCTTGATTAATAGAATTCCTTCACAAGTTCTTAAAAATCAATCTCCTTTTGAACTTTTACACAGCAAACCACCTGACCTGTCTTTTCTTAAAGTCTTTGGATGCTTGGCTTTTGCTTCTACATTACCTAGTACTCGAAATAAGTTTTCTTCTCGAGCTAGGAAATGCATTCACCTTGGTTTTTCCCCAGGAATTAAGGGTTATAGATTATATGATTTGGACACTCACTGATGACTCGGTATTTGCACATGTTTTCCCCTTTTGTCTCTTGATTGTTTGAGCTTGAATTATCGCGTCTTTGGCCTATTTTACGCTAGGTTGTGTTCCTTTGTCACATTTCAGGTCCTAGCACATAAAGTGAAGCATAGGCGCAAGTTTCAAGTCAATCAGAGATCAATTGGTGATTCGGGAGCAGAAACTCGGGCATGACCTGAAGAAGAATGGATTTCTACCTCACTTTATGGACAAAGAATCAAGCAAGATTGTCATGAAAAGAAAGAGGACGAGACTACGAGCGTCTGGGATCAAACGGCGACTGATTCGGAGTCCGGACGAGGGAGAAACGAAGCATTGAATATAGGGGAATAGGTTCGGCAGTAAAAATACGGGCGCGCCTAAATCAAAACACGGCTGTGCCCATATTTAGGCATGACCGTGTTTTGACCGACGCGCCCGAGTGTGTTTTTAACACGGGGCAAAACACGGGCGGGCAAAAGCAAAGCACGGCCGTGCCCGCGACCGTGTTTTGCCCAGAATCGGGTTTTTTAACCCAAATTCGAGCCAAAGGAGAGGCAGAGCTGGGTTTTGGATCCCAAACACCCAAGGGACGAACCAAAGAGAGAGAGGGCGATTTGAGGGCATTCTTGGAGTGGAATTGGAGGATTTCTTTGCCTTGGAAGCTCGAGGAACAAGCCCGGACTTGAAGACTGATCATCTGAAGATTCTTACTGCAGTCTCTCTCTTCTCTATGGAGTAACTTCCCTTCACTTAGGTTTTGAGGAACCCTAGCCATGTTTGTTTGATTGGATGATTGTATGAGTACTCTGACTTGGTAATCTTGAGTTCATATTCAATCTATGCATGTTTTCATTATTCAATTCTGCTTTAGTCGAGATTATTGATTCTGCTTTGATCCTATGAGAGCGAATACCTGATTAGGTCAATAGAGCACCATAGATTGATAGTAGTGGATCGATTGCTTTAGTCGAGGGTTGATTCACTGCTTTGTATCGATTGAGAACCTCTTTCGATAGAGGGAGTCTAGTTCAGAACGCCTTGATCGGTTGTTCTAGAGAAGGATACGTCCCTCTAGGCAATTGACTCAAGAGGGCCTTGTTCCTTTAGTCGAGACTCAAGGTCTAGTTAAGGATTCTCCGCATTGTGAATGAAAGTGAAACATGTTAGAGATCATCAATCGTTAATCTGGCTAGTGGCTAGGGGGAATCATACCTAAGTGAGTTCCCAACCTGTAATTAGATTAACTTTAACTGTAGTTTGCTAGAGTAGTTTTAGTTCTTTCATCTTAATCTGTTTTGCTAGATAATGAACTGAAGCTGAGTAATAGTAACTCTAGAGACCCGTGGATTCGATATTTATTACTTGAGCCACTATACTGCAGTCCCTTTCATTGGTTACACTTGGCCATTGTTAGGAGTTGTGTCATAGCGAGTCACTCACCAAATTTTTACATCTCGTGATGTTCTTTTTCATGAATCTGTCTTCCCTTTTGATCCAGCCATTCTGCCTGCATCCCCTTCATCTGTTGCTATTCCTTCTATTCCAATACAGTTTGATGATGATCCTTCCTATGTTCCATCATTCTCTCCCACATCTTCTGATCATAGCTCAGATGATGAAGCTCCACCTGAAACTCCTCCTCCTCCTGTTATTCATCCTGTTCCACCCATACCATCTACTAGTTCCAGTGTTCCTTCATCACCTCATCGAGTTCTTCCACCTCGTGTCATCAAACCTCCTTCTCACCTGCAGGACTTTGAGTGTGAGAATTTGGTCAACCGCAGGCCCCAATTACTTGCTTCCACATGGTGTCCAGCAGCCACTTCCAGCAAGAGGTATCCAATTCATACCTATATTTCTTATGATAACCTCACTCCATCTCATAAGCATTTTGTGCTCACTATTTCTGCTCACAAGGAACCAGAATCTTACCATGAAGCAGCTCAATCTAATGAGTGGAACTTAGCTATGCAGCATGAGGTTACAGCCCTTGAGAATAATGGTACTTGGGATATTGTCTCTCTTCCTGATGGAGCTGTTGCCATAGGATGCAAATGGGTCTATCGTATTAAATACTTGTCTACAGGTGAGATTGAAAGATTTAAGGCTCGCTTGGTTGCAAAGGGTTATACTCAGCGAGAGGGCATTGATTATATGGATACTTTTGCTCCAGTTGTGAAGATGACAACTGTTCGTTTATTTCTAGCTATTGCCTCCATCAGAAACTGGCATCTTCATCAGCTTGATATAAACAACGCATTTCTTCACGGAGATCTTGCAGAAGATGTCTATATGAAGCTACCTCCAGGTGTTTCTTGTCCACCAAATATTCCTAATCCTGTCTGCAAGCTCAACAAGGCGCTCTATGGCCTTAAGCAGGCCTCTCGCCAATGGTTTTCCAAGCTTTCTGACAGTTTGTTTACTCTTGGTTATCACCAGAGTAAATCTGATCATTCATTGTTCACTAAAGCTACTTCTGATTCCTATACAGCTATATTGATTTACGTCGATGATCTCATTATAGGAGGCAATGATCTAGTTGAAATTAATCGCATCAAGGCTCATTTGCATCAAGCCTTCAACATTAAGGATCTAGGGGTTCTGAAATATTTCCTTGGCCTCGAAGTGGCCAGGAGTCCGAAAGGAATACATCTTTCTCAACGAAAATATGCTTTAGAGATTCTTGATGCTGCAGGGCAGCTTGGTGCTAAACTAGTCACGACTCCAATGGATTACAAAGTGCACTTGAAGATGGATGATGGTTCTGATTTTGTGGATGCCACAGCTTATAGAAGCATGGTTGGGAAGTTAATTTATTTGACTACTACACGCCCTGATATAAGTTTCGCAACCCAGCAGGTTAGTCAATTTATGTGTCATCCTACTACTATTCATCTGAAGGCTGTTACTCGCATCCTTCGTTACATCAAAAGGAGTCCTGGTACTGGTTTGTTCTTTCCATCCAATTCTTCTCTACACTTCAAGGCCTTCAGTGATTCAGATTGGGGGTCTTGTCCAGATACTCGTCGATCTATTACTGGTTACAGTGTTTTTCTTGGGAATTCTTTGGTGTCCTGGAAATCCAAGAAACAATCTACCATCTCTCGTTCCTCATGTGAAGCAGAGTACCGTGCTCTTGCTCACACTACTTGCGAAATCCAGTGGTTGCTTCACCTTCTCCAAGACTTTCAGGTTCCTCACTCTCAGCCTGTCTCTCTTTATTGCGACAATCAATCCGCCATCTATATCGCAGAGAATCAGACATTCCATGAGCGCACTAAACATATTGAGTTAGACTATCATTTGGTTCGTGAGAAGTTGCTTGCTCAGGTGATTAAGATTCTCCATGTCCCTTCTCAACATCAGTTAGCTGACATTCTCACGAAACCGCTGTCTCCTGCTCCATTCTCTGCACTTCTCTCCAAGCTTGGAGTGTTGAATATCTGCCCTCCAGCTTGCGGGGGGTATCAGCGATACAAGAAGAAACCCCTGTTTTTTATTCCTCTGTTTCAAGTCCAGAACGAGGGAAGGCACCAGTCATGTGAGGAGCACGAGCTACACCAACGGTCTCCATGACGTCATTTACTTTTTCTGTTTTCCGATTTCACTGTTACATTTCTTTTACCCAGCTGAGCTGGTTTTGTCCTGTAATGAACACTGAGTATAAATGAGAAGAAGATAGGAAGGAAGAAGATACTTTTCTTCTTCCAATTCTATGTGAAATTTGCGTTGTTAAACCGCATTGGGGGTTTTCGATCGAAATCCCGCGGTGATTCTTCTTAATCGAGCGAAATCGCAACTCTTCGGGACTTCGGATCACAACAAATCCCTAGACATAGAATTCTTGGCCTTTGGTGAAAATCGAGCTGGAAAGAAAAAGTAGATTGAAGAAGGTTTACAAATCGAGGAATGGAACAGAGAGAGGGTTTATAGGTCTCGAATTAGTTGTGTGAGTAACAGGGGATCATGAACCCTTGCCACAAACCGCTGGAAGAGGGAGTTCTGAAAAAGTTAGCGGGGGTTTGATGAACCCTTGCTATTGAACCCTCGGAGGGCACTTTTTTTTGTAGTGTACACCCGCACAGATTTCAACTTGGGGTGCAATTCAGGGTGACTTCCCATAAGGTCACCCATCCTTGTTGTACTCCACACTGAGCACGTTTAACTTCGGAATTCTCACAAGAACTCCTCCATTACATCTTAAAACGCGTCTTGTCAGTTAAGGTCGGTCTCTTACTTAACCATGGATCTCTTTTTTTTTTTTTTTTTTGATAACCCAGGAATCTTAACCCCACGTGCCACTTTGTCACAGCGGGATCTACCAAACCTGGGGAGCACCTGTACAAGACACAATATCGAGGGACTTCGTCCCCGGCACTCAGAGGTGCCTCCGGGAACACACAAGCGGCGCCGCTGGGGATCGAACTCAGGACCTCTCACTTCCTGAGCCGATCAGACCAGCGGTTTCACCAGCTAGGCTATATTATCTTTGGCACTTAACCATGGATCTCTCCCGTGCTTTGTCGATGTGGGATTTGTCTAAAGTGTTACATAATATCTCACATTCTTATAACCGAGAGAAAAATAATTTATGGGAAAAAGATCTAAAGATCTCTTTTTCACGGAATAAAAAGAAAAATTATAGAAACCCCCTACAATATCAATCAAAACTTTCTGATTCCCTTAGCATCATCCCCTGTGGGTTCCAATGATAACAAGCTTGATGATCACTCAGAGATAAACACGGGCCTCCCTTTTTGACGAACCAATGACAATGTTTGCATCTGTCGTAATCTCTATGCTGAACGTAAATATCAAACCAATGAATTCCCCCTTCTCCCCAATCCATGGCGCAAAAGAAGAGTGTGTTATCAAAGTAATTTGGTCGGAAATGCCACTGGAACCAATCGTGTTGCCTGAGCACGTGGAAGCCGAGGTCGTCATTTCCAGACTTGCAATGAATCTTCAGTTCCCGTCCTCCTTCTAGCTCATTAGTGATCACCACCCACGTTTTTGCTTTTACTGGATTAATTGGATTATGTGACTCGATGAACACAACTAGAGTGGACAAGAGAAAAAGTACCACCAAGATGATGTTCATTTGCCTCATCGATGCTTCCTTACTTGACCTTACCTTTTAAATTTAGGGCTGGAGCTTAAAAGGATGAATTAATGATGACTGATCATGAGAAGCATTTGATTGTGTGCTTTTATAACAGAAGACTTAGTGCTCATAAGGTTGGTTTTATACGTAGAAACTGTCTACCACGAAAATTGCTCTTAAAAGTCCGGGAGATGTAATGCAATGAAAATCGCACAGGTGACAACGACGAACGGATAATGATGATGACATGGCTGTTTAGAAAAAAATCCGTAACTTTGGTGCAATTTTTACGAGATTTGACTTTTTTATTATGAAATCCTCAAACTTGTACTGATTATTCTTTTTAGTCGGAGATAAAAACCGTTTCATACCATTTTATTGCTATTTTCTTAATATATTTTTTGGGTGAAAATTCTTAATATATATATACTTACCAAGAAACAATAGATCACGATGATTACAACTCCGAGCGGAGCCAAGCGCAAAAATCAAACCAACCAATCAGAACAGGAAACAAAAAAAGGGCCTTTTGTGCCACCCTAGGGGCTACCCTATTGTTATCCCTGCCTACAAACTGGGCCACATCCCGCTGCTCTGCCGTCAACAGCTGCTGGACCTCCCTCACCATTGTGCCGCCCCGACTATCCCGATCAATGGCAGAGTTGACCTTCTGAATAACTGTCAAAACATCTCCTTGAAAGCAGAGACCTCGTAACCCCTTCCCACGACACCACAGTATAGCTTCTCGAAGCGCGACCAACTTTACCAGCATAGGATCCGAAACCCACACAAACGCCTTCCCCATAGCATCCACGACCACTCCATATGTACCACACAACACCACACCAATAGCCGCATGCGAACCACTGCGGACTGCCCCACCAAATGAGCAAATCCAGGTGACATCATGTGGGATAGGAGGCGGCCCATCAGCCACACCCTCACCCCGCCTAGACGGTTGAGAAGCAACCGCATTCCATTCCTGCACCTGAGCCTCAAATTGACAACGCAAGACGTCAACCTTGTACTGGACTCCCTCGAACACGACCCAATTACGAACTTCCAAATTCTCCATAACAAAGAAGTGAACTACATCAGCCTAGTGTCCATCGCCTCCCTCTCCAGCCATCAATAAAGGAAAATTCCCAAATTAGCCTCCAACAAACTCATACAGGGTAGGCATAAGCCCAGAACTTAATTTCCACATTTCAAGCTCTACTGGGCAAGAGAGAACAAATGTTCAAGGATTACAACTCATCCCAATACACCGAGCATCATTCCAACACCACAAACTTCTCATCACACAAGGCCTCCTTAGTGGGAAGGATACGACTGAGAAGTTGCCACCAAAAGAACCGGAGCTTGGGCGGGATGTGAGCATTCCACACCCGCTTCCACAAGCCTCTATCCATCCACGTAGTTTCACACTTCCACTTACCCCTTGCTCTATGCAATTTCATCGCCAGATGATATCCAGACTTAACAGAATATACCCCCGGACTCTCCTCATGCCAGACAAGCCTATCCGTCACCACCGCTCTTGACAAGACGATAGCCTGGATTGCTGAAACCACCTCTGCCGGAAAGCACCCCCTTAGACAATCCATGCACCACTCCCCCTCACCCAGAATTATCAAAGAGGACACCATTACCCCTCCCCAACTGGAGCCGTGTCCAATAACCTAGGCGGCGAAGGATGACATGCCAACACCCAATTCGCTGTAGCAATCTCCACCTCCTCCCCGCACCCCACTTGCCACCGCAGTCCTTCTTTCAGCAACTGCGGCCATAGAGAACACTTTGCCATCCCCACGATGGCATGGACCCTTTAGTTGCCGTAAGAAAAGACCCATTCCGGTAATAATTGCCCTTGTAAATTCTTGCGAAGAGGCAATCCGGATCCTAAAGGATACGCCACGCTACCCAATTTTCGCCAACAAGGCTTGGTTAAACTGCTCAAACTTGCAAAATCCTAAGCCCCCGTCATGTTTACTACAACATAATTTACGCCAGGATTGCCAATATATCTCTCCAGACGAGTTCCCCACCAAAAGCGGGCCATATGCTTGTCTAATCTCCGACACAATGATAGCAGGAGTTTGAAACATGACATCACGTGCACTAGGAGCGCAACCGCCACCGACTTCAACATGGTTTCCTTCGCCGCCCAAGACAAGTGTCGTTGCTTCCTGGAAAATTCTTAATATTTTTTCATATCACTACATTGATGTATAAATTTGGGTAGATACAATATATTAGCCACAACTATTATGAAGCGTGGAATTATAGCTACAACTATGATAATTCAAATCATTAGCCAAACGTTAACTTTCTGTTAACAATTCCGTTAGTAATGCTGACTAAATTTTTATGTTTTAAAGTTAAAAATTAAAAGCAGTCTGACGTCGCTGCTGCCCCGACGACGTGGCCTTCTCCATTAAAAACTCAATAATAGTAACAGACAGTTAGCCATATCTTGACCCGCAACAATAGTTATGGCTAATAATTTGAATTTACATAGTTGTGGCTATAATTCCTAGTTTCGTAATAGTTGTGGCTAATATACTGTATTCACCCTTTAAATTTTGTAAATCAAATTATATCATATTGCGAAAGAAGTACATTATCCTTTGGTGATAGGATTTATCTATAAATATATATATATGGTGACTACTTCGGTGCACTCACAAAAATGTTGCATATGTAGTTTTTTAGTTGGGTGCATTGAACGCACTTATTTTTGTGAGTGCACCGAAGTAGTCACTATATATATATATGGTGACGTATTCAGTGCACCCGCCTCATAATTGTCATTCTGAGCATGCAATCCTTGTCAAAACGGTATCAATTGTTGCTTATAATATTATGAACAAGAAGCACATGAATTTGAAAAAAAATTCATTCAAAATTTACTTTAATTTGAAAGTAGAGCTTTAATAAAATGGGTTATACCCTAATTTGGCCCAAGGTTTAGCATGAGTGACATTTCTGGCCCCATTTTCAAATAAACATTTACGGTCTACTTTTAAAATTATTTGACAGATTTGGCCTGAAACTTGTGTTGACTGATAATATTAACGGTCAAACACTTATTCCATTAGTGACTCAGCAAAAAACGGTTGATGAGACTTATGTATGGTGCCACATCATTAAATAATAATAATTTTTAATTTTGTAATTCAAATAATAATAAAAAATTTAAAAAGTCCCGATCACCCAACCGCCAACCCTCATCTCTTCCTCCCGTCGCCTCCTTCCCACTAGTTCATACCCTTCTTCCTCTCCTCTGGCATAAGAAACCGGAGGCTGCACCACCCGTCGTCGGAAACGAAGAGACTCCAAAGTCTGAACCATTCGCCGGCGCTATTGCAGAATCGGGGCTCTAAACCACTAGCCAGACTGAGAACAGAGAGACTCTGAACCACCCTGCTTCCTCTCCACTGGAAAAGCAACCAGATCAAGATTGTATACTATTCGTAACAATTCATAATCGTCACAAATGATATCATACGTGACACAAATATTTGGCACACTAGTGTTTTTTCATGACCACTAGTTAACAAATGTATACTCACGAAAGATATCATGTGACTGATTAACAAATTTTGTCACCAATGTTTTTACAGCTGGAACAAAATTGTTGTCACAAAAAAAAGTATTTAGCAGTAATTTAATTAACTTTATGGCGCTTTTTGTTTCTTTTGTAGCTAAGTTTAAGTCGTGAGATCGTATCACACGCCACCTCATCACCAACCTCACCATTACCCGTGATGAGACTAATTAATAGCATTCTAATTCTCCCATTACCGTGAGAGAAAAAAAAAAAAAGAAGTTGGCTCAATAGCAAGTAATTAAGATGTCTTGAGTTGTTTTGTGAAGCTCGAAATGTGAAGCTAGATGGACCTTGGAATCGGCCCCTGACTGAAGTTTCTCGAAAGTACACCAACTATTGATAAGGAGAGAAAGAGCCTTTTCCGGGAATGATAAACTGATTGAGAATCGAGTAGCTAGGGAGGGGAGCGTAGATGGCGCCAGCAATTGAGGCCAATATTGCGTCTACAGGCGGGCTTTACTTAAGCAGTAACAAATTCAGTTATGGACCTAAAATTTAGCAGCAACCAATTTAACCCTTCTACAGCACGACCTTTTTTTTCTTCTTCTTTTTTTTTCTTTTTTGAAAGAGCACAACTGCACAAGCACGAGTTGTCTAACGAAGAAAGGAGGAATCCAAGAGGCTTTCCCCCCTTTCTCCCTTTATATTACAATCTCTAATTTTAATATTGATTATTATATGCCTCAAGCTTAGAAATTCAACTAAAAATATGTTCTAATTTATATTTTATTTTAATAAACTAAATAAGTGGGTGGCCTAGCTAGAACCCTACTAATTGTCTCCATACATGGAACAAATACAAAAAAAAAAATCCCTAAACATAAAAACTTGCACATATGAAAACATCAAGAACTACTTGACTTTATTTCTTCTTCCTCCTCCTCTTTTGCTGCTTCTGCTCCCTCTTCAGCCACTTTCCCTTCTTCTTCTTCTTCATCTTCTTCATCTTCATCATCATCATCTTCTTCTTCTTCTTCTTCTTCTTCTTCTTCATCTTCTTCCTCTTTTTCTTCCTCTTCCTCTCTTTCTCCTCCTTCTCCTCCTCCTTCTTCCACCTCCTCGGTTTGGACCTCGCTCGAACCCTCTTCAACAACCTCGACAACAACCTCTTCTTCCACCACCAACTGGGTTTGGGCCTGGCCCGGCCCATCATCAGCGATCTCCACGGTGTCTGGACTGCTGATGCTGTCCTCGTCCTGGGCCTGGCCAGCTTCCATCTCAAGGGCGGTGTCGGTGTCGATCGGTCCCTGCCGGTATTTGTGGTACAACACCACCTGTGCAATCGCGAACACCAAACCAAGAGCATTGGGCGTCTGCATTTAAATAGAACTACAAAATTAGTATTCCAAATTAATTAAAAAAAACAATTCAATCTCAAGAAAGAAAGAAAAAGGAAACAATCAAGAGATTACCGCAACAAAGAAATCGGAGGTGGTGAAGCCGAAGATGAACCAGAAGATGGAGCTGAGCATGAGCGCCACGGACAGGGGAATGGGCGGCATCGATTCCACATTCCCCGTCCTTATCACCTGCAGCTGTGAAAGCAAATAAAACACACACACTAATTAATTAGTGTTCATCCCTCCTTCAATTAGCAGCAACCGAGAGATTTAATTTCCTTATATACCATGATGCTCAGCGGGGCAGCGAAGACCGCCACGGAGAAGACGGAGCACATCGTCCCCACCACGATCGTACGGACATAGTCCGTGACGAAGACAGTGGCGAGGACGATAGCAGCTAGCGCCACCATGTTGAACGCCGCCAGTTTGATCCCCGCGGAAACCTATTAAAAATTAAAAAAATTAAAAAAGATGTTAATTATTATTTATCTCAAAATTATTCACTAATCAGAAACTTAATAAAAATAAGTAGTGAATCGAAAAATTCACTTACCCTCGTCTGTGTGGACGAGTATCGAAAGTACACACCGAGGTAGAAGAGCTCGATGATGCTTCCGATGACGTTGATGGTGAGGATGATGGAGGACCGCTTCAAAATCCCATAGTAAATGTAGAGGGTGGCACTAAAAAGTGTCACCATGTACGGGAGGATTTTGAAGCCCGCCGTGTGCTTCTCTCGTATAATTCTCCGAAAGGAGCCTCTGAAATTCAAACCAAAAAAAAAAATACGTACGGGAGATGCAGGAAGAAGAATGTACATTACATGTATATGAAGAAGGAAAAAATAAAATAGTAAACGACTACTTACATCGGACTCAGGAAGATCGTCAATGCTATGACGCTCCCTGAAATTTGAAAGAAGGGGGAAAAAAATATTAAAATCCAATGTAACTATGTCCAACAAGTATCGTTTTTTTTTTTATTAATTATTGTCAACCCAATGTAACTTAATTTAATTATGTAAAGAAAAAGGAGGAGGTTATTTGGTTTGGTAATAATGGACAAATTGCATGCATACCTATTATCCCCGAGATCGCCTGCACCAGCTGCATGGTCTCCGGACCCATCGCCATTGGAAGAGGAGTGTTGGAGAAAAGGGAGGACCGAGGGAGGGAGCGAGTGGAAGTGGAAGTGGCCGCCGGAGGGAGAGGACGGGGGAGATGTTTTCCGGCGAGGGGAAGTCAATGTTTAGGACGGAAGTCGATCGATGGAGGTTTATTATTGTTAGATGGAAATTAAAGAAGTTTCAAAAGAGGAGGGAGTGAGTCAATGCCGGGGTGTGGGAATGGAGAGCTGGGATAATGGAGTTTATCATATATATATATAGGGACGGGGATGGAGTTTAATTGTCGATCTCCGACGTACGTCAGAACATGCACATGCTGCAGTTGAAGGACCACTCGGAGTACTGGGGCGCCGGCCGGTGAGATAGCTGGAAGAAATCAATGAAGTTGAGTTCTGCAGGGCCCGTTACCTTTCCTACGGTTACATATATATTATAAATGTAGAGTGAAATTTGAGAAGATCGATATGTATAGTACGCGGGTTCTTGCTTTATTACTTCTGAGTTGGGCAGAGTACGTACGTACTCTAAATTCCGACGTCAACGCGCGTACGTACATGCAAAGGTGACCATGCATGGCAGTAGATGGAGCATCTGGGACCAGTTGGAGGGTTTTACGTACTGTTTTACAAGCGCGAGGAAATGTTCATATATGGGCTACGAATTCAAACTGAGGAAGAGGTGATCCAGAGAAAATTAAATGGTCCCAGCGGGAGATGTTGCCAATATATGACCATGTATGTCTACGTCGGATTCAGGCAAGCTCGAAAGTCGAAACCGTTCTACTTCCATTTACGAATTGTAACTTGCGTTTGGTTTCAACCGTACCCAGCAGCATCTTCAATTTTCTTAAAGTTATCTGTTCTTTGTTGCTGGATGCATGCATGTCCGGGCCCGGGGTGTACGTCTAGCTATATATTAATGTTTACCTTTGAGGCTTTTTTACTGTTTTACAGCTGTCTTGATTTTAGAGGGGGAGAAGGGTTTGGCGTGGAATAAGAAAAGAAGTAGAAGGGTTCTGGGAATAGAGGAATCGGCAGGAGAAGAAGAGAGAGGGAGTTTCCAAAGTTGAAGTTGATTATTCCTTGATTGATCACCCTAAACACTCCTCGCCTAATATAATAAAATTCCTTCTATAACTACCCTAAATTATCCCACAATTTATTCCCCAAATCCCAACTAATTGAGATATGCAAATCCCTCCTAATCCGATTTGATCATAATACGAAATAATGCCTAATTGATAAAATAAAGAAATTGCTAAATTAATTCCCGCAACAAGATGCTACTTCGTGTACTCTTTCTTATTATATATATATATATATATATATATATATATATATATATATATATATATATATATATTACGTACGTGCACACGATCACGTATGCATGCATGGACCACTTGCTTTCGTTTTATTTGAAATTTCGGGGCGGTGAGACGAAAAAGGCGCGCTACCTAGGCTGCGATCGTTGGAAATCTTTTCCTAACTATATACTAGCTTAAACCCTGCCCGTTGGGCAGGTAGCTCTATTATTATGTTATTGAATTATTATTTTAGTTGGTGACAATATCTGGCGATGTCCATAATTTTCAGGATAATAGAATGCGATCTAGGAAGGGCACAATAATATAGGGTGATAAATGGTATTTGGGCGCATTCTATTAGATGTTTCATGACGTCCCACATAATTCCATCTTAAAGTGATCATGTCCTTAACATGTCGATCTGTATAAGCAATTTTAATCGATATCGGTTACAAAATTTACTGGCATGCCCTAATATAATCAACATGATTGATTTCAGAATTTTAAATAAAATGACATTGTTTTGGTCAATTACCGAACAAAAAGAAAGAATGTTTAAATGTTCATGATATTTGTTGGATTTACGTACATATTTTTGGATGTTGGCATTAAATATATTGTATTTACATATGATGATTTTTTATTTTATTTTGAAAGGTTTATTTAATTTAAATATAAAAGTAGATTTTAGTGAGATTGTTTTCAAGTATGTTATATATATACTTAAAATTCATTAAATGCTAACGATTTCTCGCTTACCTACATGTTTTGCTAAAAACGGCACAAACTGGTTATACTACTGGTCATACCATATCACTTGTCAAACCGACATAACAATACGGTCAATACCGATTTGACAACCTTACTAACTTCATCAAACAATGTTTTAAAAGTAATAAATACCATTTTATTCAACATTATTAAAGTTTCAGCACTGGGACGCCAAACAGAAAGCTCTAGAAATCAAGTCATCATTGCATAGGGGTGTTGATGAAAATGTCATGTCTGACGTCAATCCGCAGCATCCATTTTTTCAAGCAACTTAAGAGTTAAGACCCGCATCAATGATAACCATATACAATGGAGTTTTAAATGATGACATCTGATATATATTCTAAAGCCACTATCATATTGAACAACTTCAGTTTACCATTTTACCAGTTCATCACCGAGTTAGCGGTGTGTAGGCGAGGCAGAAGGAGACGGCCGTTGAAGAAGGTGGGATGGGGGAGATTATAGAATCGATGCAGCCGGCTAACGGGTCGTCGAGAAGGAGAGGGCTACGCTCGGATGTGACGGAAGAGCGCAAGATGGGCGGTGGGGCAGGCGCATGCGGTTGCAGGAGGCAGAATCAACTTGCTGAGGGTGGCGATTAGTGTATCGAATTCTGGCGGATGGAGGAGAGGAGAGGAATCGGCGGAATAATATTGAGGGGAAGACTTGACGGGTTTCTGCGCGGAAAGAAGTTCTTAGTTGAAATTCAGAGGGCCGGACAATCGCTTGCCGGCGGGTTGATTGGGTGGGTAGAGATTTCAGCGGATAGTGGTTGTGGTGGCGAAAGAATTTTAATTGGGAGGGGGAGGAGATCTCAAGATTGTTGTCGGATGGTGTTGCCGGCGACACGCCGCAAAAGGGGTCGGTTGGAAAGAGGTGGTGGTTCGTGGTGGGGAACTGGGGATAGAAGGTTTGGGTTGAAGGGAGAACTGGGAAGGAGTTTTCGTAGGGTTAGACGTTAGCAACTTTTTTTACTTCGGAGGATTTTGATTGGCCAATAGCTGTGCTGACGTGGAAGCATTAGGGGAAGGGGATTTTGAATTCGTGAAGGGGTAAATGAGAAACCCCTTATTATATTCCTTAGATTAGATTAGATTAGATTAGATAGCCTCATTGCATACCCAGCCAAATTTGTGGTTGGCCCCAAACCAAAAACTGGGGCATTATTCGACTATCACAAGATGCAAAATTTTATCCTGAATATCTGTGTTTGATTAACAGGCTAAAAAATGGACTTTTCCCCCTAAAATATCCCTCAATACTCGAGTAATCGGGGTAATCAACATATGTACAACATGGGTATTTGAGGAATTTTGTTTGTTGATCGTGATGTTTGGGAAAAAATCTCTAAAAATATAATCATCCACTACTTCAAAACAATATATATTAATCACATGCTATTTCAACCATTTCAATCCCACAAAACCGTCCTCAATAATATAATTCTGACACTCACCGCTACTTAATCACACCAAACCAAACAATCTGATTAGTATCACTAATTAACTCTATCCCACCAACAACAAAAAAAACTTTGCCCGCTTGTCGAGAAATTACTAAGTACACCCAGCATAGCAGGCTAGCACGTGAGGATGATGATTTGCAAGTTTATGACCGAGCTCTATATATAAGTGCATAAGACAAATATCTCGTTACTGCTCTATGACATTGGTTTTATTATATTCAAATGGACTTAAGTGAATTGGCTCAAATTAGATCCAATCTAGACCTAAGTCAACCAAAAAAAAATAATAATAATTCCACTTCATATAATCATTTTCAGACATGATCATATTTGGACAAATATCACATACTTAATAATAGATGCTGTGGTATGTGATAATTGACCTCAAATACTGTATTCCACAAATGTTCAAACTCTTACATCATAAAATCTACAGAAATACATAGCATAATTTTTTCAAACTACCTGGGGGGATGATGGGGAGATAACCAATTAACCACATAAACTCACATTTCAGTTTTTCAAAATTATTATGTGTCCATATATGGATCAATTTGTTTCTATGTTCTATAAAGGATAAAATATTATTTTGTAAATTTAAAATGGAAATATCTTATCAATAATTCCACTCGCTATAAACCTTCCATAAATCACTATCATTAGTTGTCTCGATCCACAACAATTATTTATGATTACGTGACCTAAGCTTTACTTTCATGTCATTTTGAAGATAGTATTGTGATGCGAACATATATTCTATGTCAAAATTAATATCAGAGTAAAAAAAATTTGTAAATATTATTTTTTAGCTAAATCCTAACAGAAAGGATAATGTACTTCTTCTTTAACAATATGATACAATATCATTTAAAGACATTCAAACATTACTGTAGTGATAGCGAAAAGTATTAATAAGGTAATAGCGGAAAACTGTCTGGAACGCTTTTTATTCCGCCTAAAATGAATTAATCACTACAAGTTTGAGAAATTTATAATGAAAAGGTCAAATATCCTGAAAATTTGCACCGAAGTTACAGATTTTCCTAATCAGCCCGTATCAATCATCATCATCATCCATTGGTCCTTGTCACCTACGATTTTCATGCATAACATTTCGTTGACTTGGAAGAGCAATACTAGATGGTAGGAAGTTGCTACATAAAAAACCAATTCTTAATTATATGCACTAATCTTAATATGTTATAAAAGCGCATACACAATCAATCAAACGTTTATCATCATCATCATCGATTCATACAAAAAGAAGAAAAACAACAGTATCGAAATTCATCATCGATCCTTTTTAAGCTCTCGCGATCACCCTGACAGAAAAATTTGAAGGTGAATCCAAACAAAGGGAACATCGATGATGAGGAAAATTAGCACCATCTTCGTGGTGCTTTTTATCTGGTCCACACTGACTATGTGCATCGAGTCACATATTCTAATTGATCCAAGTTTAAGAAAAACAAGGGTGGTGGTTACTAATGAGATAGAAGGAGGACGACAACTGATGGTTCATTGCAAATCCAAAAATGACGATCTCGGTGTCCACGTGCTTGGGCCAAACGATTGGTTCCAATGGCACTTCCGACCAAATTACTTCGGATACACATTATTCTACTGCGCCATGGATTGGGGAGAGGGAGGGCTTCATTGGTTCGACATATACATCCAGTACAGGGATTACAAAAGATGCAAACTATGTCATTGGCTCATTAGAAAATCAGGTCCTTGTTTGTCTTATGGTGATCATGAATCTTGTTATCGTTGGAAACCACAGGGGATGATGCTAAGGGAATCTGAAAGATTTGATTGATGTAGCTAGCTAGGTATTTCTAGAATTAATTTTGCTTTCTTTGTGAAAAGGGGATTTTGTAGAATTTTCAATAACCGTAAGTGCTAAATTATTATCAATGTTGCGTTGGTTTGATATCTACATGTGAGTGATTACAATAAATATGCTACATTTGGTTGTTTTTTTTTGGAACTGTTATTAATTAAATTGGCATGTCACAATACTTATTTAGCATTTATTCATCATTTTATGTTTATATACTTCATTGCTAGCTGTGATCATTCTATGCTATCCATTTCCAGCACTTGTGAATTGTGAGTCTTCTGATTTAATACTCTTTATTTACTTGTTCTTTCAAGTATCTTTCGAGTGTGTGAGTCTGACAATCCAAGACTACCAAGGGGCTAACTAAGAGGAGTGTTTTTGTGTTTCTGAAATTACTAACAAAAAAAAATTATGGTATTATCAGCATATGTGGCCATGATGTGGCACTTATATTGACAATAGATTGGTGTCATGTATGTCATTGATAGTCAAACATACGTTGATATTCATTTGATTAAATGCTAAATCTTACGGTGTACAAAATGACTCCGAACACGGTAGTCAGAACAATTTAGTTATTTTGCAAAATATGTTTAGGAAATTGTACATTTTCAAAGTTCGGATGTCCTAGTGGTATTTGTCTTTTTGCCACTAAATAGGCAAATTTGGTAATTCTCCGGGGTGAATAGAATGACATAATACACCATTAAAAAACATATGAGCCAAACAATAAGCCACCGTGAATAACCTAAGCTAAATTCATAGCAACCTTTCCTGAATTGTTGGCTCGAGAAAACAAACAAACCGCATTAACCCTACGATTGCAATCTGAGTAACCATAGAAAAGGACCAAGACAAGGCCCTTGAAGCGTCATTGAAATCATCGAACGCAGTAGAGGGGATTTTATGCATCATCTCATAGCGTCTCCGTATACTTTCCAAAATATGACAACGATCACCAAGAAAGTTATGTACGCTTTTGTGATGGAAATGGAAGGAAGAAGGAAGTTTGAGAACTGATAGGAAGAGGACAAGCAGAGGCCGCACACGGCAGTAGCTTGGTAGAGAGAAGGGAAGATTTCTGACATGGAGGAGAGAAAAGAGAGGGGATTAGGGAAACTGAATTGGGTTTAATCTTTGTGTAGTGGGTAATTGGCACTTACAATAATATTTATATAATTCGAAAATCCCTCAATACTACCCCAAATTATTATCCTCCCTCAAATAACCCTTAAATAATCCCAACAAGTTATAAAGAACAATAAACCGACAAAATAGTCCAAATAATTGAATTGCATAAATGCAGGTTCTATCACTTAATCTCTATCATTTTGTTAGAAGTCTTGGGTGTCAATTGTAATTTACCATCATTTCGCATGTTAGAAGGATTGGTTAATTATTTGTAGTCCTTGAGAAAGGGTTATTCGGCTGGATTCTTGGTGAATACAATTGACTCTAAGAGGTTGCTCCTCTTCGTGGATTAGTCTCAACAATAGGTTGAGTATACCACATAAATTGGTGTGTTCATGTGTTTATCCTTCTGCTGATTTTATGTTTAACATGGTATCAGAGCCCATTCTCGGATCTTGGGTTTAGGTTTTCGGCTGCTGATGCTTCAGGTTTGGTGGTTCGCTTCATCCGCTTCTTTTTGGCTCGAAGTGGGTTTATAACGTCAAGTTGCATCCGGATGGATCCTTTGAGCGATTTAAGGCTCGCGTGGTTGCTCAAGGTTTTAAGCAGGATTTTTGGGATTGATTATGAGGAGACCTTTACTCCTATGGCCAAAATGCAGACTGTCTGGACTTTGTTTGCAGTAGCTGCACTACGAGGGTGGTGTCTTAAGCAGCTGGATGTGAAGACTGCATTCTTGCATGGAGATTTGAAGGAGACCATTTACGTCGATGATATGCTCATTAGTGGTGATGATGTTGGCGGTATTCAGGAGCTCACTGCCACTCTGCATGCGGCATTTCACTTGAAGGAGCTTGACGATGTGTCCTATTTCTTAGTACTGGTGGTTCATCGGTCTCCTGCAGGATTACTTGTGAGTCAACAGAAATATATGGTTGACTTGCTCGAGACGGCTAATATTGATGAATGCAAGCCTTGTGCTACTCCAATGGAGAAAAATCTAAAGTTACGTCAATCTGATGGTGGCTTGCTTCCTAAGAATTTGTCATATTGTAGTCTGGTAGAGAGTTTGATTTATCTCACTCATACCATGCCTGATATTTCTTATGTAGTGCAAGTAGTCAGCCATTTTATGTATGCTCCACCCACAACACACATGGTTGTGGTACTCGTCTCTTGAGATACTTGCGAGGAATGACTGATGTGAGGATGTTCTTTCCTTCTTCTGGTGATCCGGTTATTGAGTATTATGCTGATGTGGACTATGTTGGATGCACTACAAGAAAATTTACTTTTAGCGGCTAAACTATGATGGCAAATATTATAAATGCCTTTAAAAGTATCCTCTACCAACAAATATGTAAATTGCCCCTAAAATTATCTAACTCTGTCGTTAATAGTTTAATTTTTTATTTTATTTTAATATCACTGAAAGTAAATTATTGTTTTACCAACAAATTCCTAGTAATGGCCGTCTAAAGCCTTGGCTCATTTCCTTTTAGAGGCAAAAACTATCTATCGGAAAACCCAACTTTTTCGAGACAAATAAAAAGGTTGCTATTGCCTTTTAAATGAAGAATAATTCAGATAAGTAATGTGCCTCTAAACATATCTTTTCCCCAGCAAACTAATCCACCTCTATTTATCTTTTGTTAAAATAATACGAGAAAAAATATTTTATTTGAAATTAAATATTATTTACATAGCCCAAAAACTCGGAGCGCAGTAACTGCATTCTTTTGCTGAAGGGGTTATGTAACCCTAGATTGTACATCCCTGAATCCTGATCCTTTCTGCACATGTTCGTTATTCTTTCTCCATCATCTTGTTGCGGCCATTCCCAATTCCCATTGAGATCAAATCATCAAACCGCTGAATCATCCTATTCCTAGTCGTTAGGCACTCGTCCATTGCAACTGATGCGGGGTATTTAATCGATCATTCCTCTTTTTATCCTCCTGAAAACATCGATCTTGAGCGCTGCAGATTCCCGTCGAACTACTTCATATCTCCGGCATCGATCCCCATCCATTTTTATCTGGTGCGATTTCTTTTTGGCTGCTTCTTAATTTGATTTTAGATTTCCCTTCCAATATCTTCATCACGGAGTTACAACTTACAAACCCCACTCCTAAATTGGTTATTCCCCTCTGAGGAACGAGCATCAAATTGGAGGCCAATACTTTATGCTTGAAGTTGATATCTAAGGTAACTTGTTCTAAGTTGATGACGATTTGTAATTCAGTTTTTTATGTTGAATTAATAACTGATTGGTGTTGTTCTGGTCTTGCAGCAACATTGGGCAATCACGCAATAACTGGTGCAAGAATTTAAAGTCTACTTCATGCCAAATGGCTTTCATCTTTGCAAACGAGAGGCCTATTGAATTCCGTTGGTGTTCTTGTTTTTATTTGGGACGTCTATATCCCTGCAGTGATTTGATTCATGGATTAACCATGGATAAACAAATAGGAATATCTCCTTTTCTAATTGTTAATTTAAATTTTGCCTTCAGTTGCTTAATTGATTTAAGAGATTATAATTAAAGGTGGTTACATGCCTCTGAAAATAGAAAAATAGTTATATAAAGGTGAAATTAGCAACAAAAAGTTACCTATTAGAGGCACATAATTTGTTCCTAAAGATTAATTTAAAGACAGCTACAATTGTCCCCAAAACAAACTTAAGGGAGCAAAAATATGTGCCGCCAAATATAACATTAGTGGCATAACTTTATGCGGCTAATGTGAGAAAAAAGGACAATTAAATAGTCAATCAAAAGTCACATTAGCAACAAAACTATTTGCTGCAGATTTGAGCATTACCAGCGTATAATATTTGCTGCTAACATCTGTCGCTAAAGTGATTTAGCGGCAACAGTATTGACAGCACACATTTTTGTGCCGCTATAAGGCTATAGCGACACATAAATGACTTATCGTAGCAAATACACTTAGCCTCTAATTGTCATTTTTCTTGTAGTGATGTTTGGATACTTGTCGTTCAACCTCAGGATGGTGTGTGAAGTTTGGTTCCTCTTTTATTTCTTGGTGGTGTAGGAAACAAGAGAGGGTCTCCAAGTCTTCAATGGAGGCTGAATATCGTTCGATGTCAAAGATAACATCGGAACTTGTGTGGCTTCACAGATTGGTCGTTGAGCTTTGGGGTTACGTGTGTGATTCCTATGTGCCTGTATGCAGACAACACCAGTGCGATTCAGATAGCTATGAATCAATATCTTCGTGATCTCACTAAGCATATCAAGGTGCATGTACACTATATTCGTTAGCTGGTTGCCGAGGGAGTGATTGAGCTATCCTACATTACTTTTGAAGACCAGACGACAGATTTGTTGACGAAGGCATTTGCGACTTCTCGTCATTGGTTCTTGGCTTACAAATTGATGTTCTGTAAGCATCATTAATTTGATGGAGGGTGTTAGAATTCATGGGTTTCAATTGTAATTTACCATTATTCCGTGTGTTAGAAGGATTGGTTAATTACTTTGTAGTCCTTGAGATAGGGTTATTCGGCTAGGATAAATAGGTGGGTTAGTCGAACTTGTAATGGTGAATACAATTGACTCTGAGAGGTTTCTCCTCTCCGTGATTAGTCTCAACAATACGTTGAGGATACCACGTAAATCGGTGTGTTCGTGTATTTATCCTTCTGCTGATTTTATGTTTAACACACTTGACCCTAAAGGTGTTTCTTGCTCCCATCTTAATTATCTGATACTCCTCCATGCATGCTTCATCCCATTACTATACTATGTTCATCCATGATTATCTTTATTTTTTGCCATGAAAATTAGCTCCCTATATCTATTACACAATGGTTCGCCC